GCAGGGATCCCCGCGCTCACCTCCCGGACCAGGTCCTGCTCCAGATTATGGCGGGCCAGCAGCATCCTCCTCTTGAACCGCCGGCACTCCAGCTCCAGGTATTGCCTCTGGCGCCGCAGCAGGTTGGCCTCTTCCTCGGCCTGGAAGTGCTGGATGTTCTCCTTCTGCTTGGACAGCCACTCCTGCTTCTCCTTCTTGGGGGTGCTCTGGTTCTCGTTCAGTTCCTGGGGATCCAAAGGAGGACGGGGAGTTCTGGGAGTTGAAGTCCAGGCATGGGGGGGGGGGATGAGGGATTCTGGGAGCTGAAGTCCCCGCGGGAGGTGAGTGGGAGGAGCTGGATTCCCAGGGAGGGAGGGAAGTGGGTGTGTGTGTCTTTATGGCTTCACACCTACAGACAAAATCTTGCCAGAGTGAAGGCTACAACCTGCCTTTACAAAGGAGGAGGAAGAGGCAACTCAGCCTGGATTGTCATGTGTGAGAATGTTCTGACCCAAACCTGGTTCCAAGGAAACCAACATCAAACAGAGATAAAAGCAAAACCTTTTCATGATTCTTTACGAATTCCGTTCCTTCCCGGTTCAAAGGCTGTTTCAAACTCATTGTCTCTGATAAGAAGGAGCCTTGCCAAGGTGGTGCAAGGCTGCCAAGAACACGAGATAAAGTTGCCAAGAAGTATTTCAAACACAAGAAAAGTCTCCAAACACAAACCAAGATATTCTGAACGTCCACAAGGCTTGAGTGCAAAAACGTCTTTGCTTCCTGCAAATAACTCCAGTTTCTCAGCTGGCTTTTATCTCTTAAGGGAGGAGCCATTACTTTGTAGCCTTACTCCCGAGTCGCCCGTGCTGCTGCAGCTGCTCTTTCCTTCGAGCAGCCCTGTGTGCATGTGCACAGGCTCCTCGGGGACCTCTTCTTCACTGCTGCCAGCCTCCACAACCTCCAAAGGCAGCACCCCACTACCTGATGGTCCTGGCCCCATCCCTGCCTCACATGCAGCCCCTCATCTGAGTCCTCGCTCTCCAAGACCTCAGCTGTCCTCACCTGCTGCTGGCAAACCACAACAGAGAGAAAGACGCCGAAGACGGCGCCTCCCTAACAGTTCCCAGGGTGTTCTGCAAAGGCAGGCAGTCGACTTCACTCCGGCAAGAGTCTGTCTACAGGCGCGAAGCTTGGAAGCATTGCGTGGTTTGGGGCCTGACAAGGAATGAATGAATGAACCTTCTCTCCCCCCCAGCTCTTCCCTGTTACCTCTTTGAGCTGCTCTTTGCGGAGTTTGTATTCTCTCTTCTGGGATTCCAAAAAGCTGTTCAGCTCTTTCTTCTGCTGCGTCTGGATGTGTTGCTGAAACTTCTTCTCCTCGTTGGCCATCACTTTCGCCTGCGCCACACCAGGAGAGGAGAGCAAGGATGTTAGGAATATAAGTCACCTAACAGGTATTCGGGTTAGAAATATATAAACCAGGATAAACATTTTAAAACTGTAACTTTAAGAAAATGCAAAACTGTAGTTGGGTGTGGTTTCTCAAACGGCCATAAGATGGAGCCAGAAACCTGGGTTGTCTTAGTCTGAGTCTCAGAAGAGAGTGTGAGTAAGTCTCTGTTTCCTTCTGTTGGAAA